TGAAATCCCAAAAAATCAGTTAGGCTTCAAATGTTGTATTCGCAAGTTTTTGAAACTGCAAAATTGGAAGATTGTGTGATCAATTCACTATACTGTTAATTGTATTTTCGAGAAGATGTGAGAAAAGCAAGCAGCCTGTTTCCGTAGTGTAGTGGTTATCACGTTCGGCTAACACGCGAAAGGTCCCTGGCGGAAACAATATGAAGCCAGTAAATATTTTGAAACGATATCTATGCTGGATACCATGTGAAACTACGTGCCCATCAAATCAGTTAGGCTTCAAATGTTGTATTCGCAAGTTTTTGAAACTGCAAAATTGGAAGATTGTGTGATCAATTCACTATACTGTTAAATGTATTTTCGAGAAGATGTGAGAAAAGCAAGCAGCCTGTTTCCGTAGTGTAGTGGTTATCACGTTCGCCTAACACGCGAAAGGTCCCTGGTTCGAGCCCAGGCGGAAACAATATGAAGCCAGTAAATATTTTGAAACGATATCTATGCTGGATACCATGTGAAACTACGTGCCCATAAAGCTAACTTCTCTTGAACTGCCGTTCTGCAGTGGCGTTAATCAAAGTTATTTGCATTTTAATCCACGTTATCAATGTTCCAAGTATAACTTAGCACTATATATGAATAGAGGTGTAATGTACACTAATTTACCTATTGTCTTCAACGACACGTTTCGTAAGGTGGTGTTAATTATAAGTAAATTGGAATTTGTTTTCTCCTGCGGCGTCAATTAAAACTAAATGATATTTGTTTTCGCCCGGGTTCGAACCGGGGGGCCTTTCGCGTGTCAGGCGAACGTGATAACCACTACACTACGAAAACTCGTTACATGAAATCCCAAAAAATCAGTTAGGCTTCAAATGTTGTATTCGCAAGTTTTTGAAACTGCAAAATTGGAAGATTGTGTGATCAATTCACTATACTGTTAATTGTATTTTCGAGAAGATGTGAGAAAAGCAAGCAGCCTGTTTCCGTAGTGTAGTGGTTATCACGTTCGGCTAACACGCGAAAGGTCCCTGGCGGAAACAATATGAAGCCAGTAAATATTTTGAAACGATATCTATGCTGGATACCATGTGAAACTACGTGCCCATCAAATCAGTTAGGCTTAAAATGTTGTATTCGCAAGTTTTTGAAACTGCAAAATTGGAAGATTGTGTGATCAATTCACTATACTGTTAATTGTATTTTCGAGAAGATGTGAGAAAAGCAAGCAGCCTGTTTCCGTAGTGTAGTGGTTATCACGTTCGCCTAACACGCGAAAGGTCCCTGGTTCGAGCCCAGGCGGAAACAATATGAAGCCAGTAAATATTTTGAAACGATATCTATGCTGGATACCATGTGAAACTACGTGCCCATAAAGCTAACTTCTCTTGAACTGCCGTTCTGCAGTGGCGTTAATCAAAGTTATTTGCATTTTAATCCACGTTATCAATGTTCCAAGTATAACTTAGCACTATATATAAATAGAGGTGTAATGTACACTAATTTACCTATTGTCTTCAACGACACGTTTCATAAGGTGGTGTTAATTATAAGTAAATTGGAATTTGTTTTCTCCTGCGGCGTCAATTAAAACTAAATGATATTTGTTTTCGCCCGGGTTCGAACCGGGGACCTTTCGCGTGTGAGGCGAACGTGATAACCACTACACTACGAAAACTCGTTACATGAAATCCCAAAAAATCAGTTAGGCTTCAAATGTTGTATTCGCAAGTTTTTGAAACAGCAAAATTGGAAGATTGTGTGATCAATTCACTATACTGTTAATTGTATTTTCGAGAAGATGTGAGAAAAGCAAGCAGCCTGTTTCGGTAGTGTAGTGGTTATCTCGTTCGCCTCACACGCGAAAGGCCCCCGGTTCGAACCCGGGTGAAAACAAATATCATTTAGTTTTAATTGACGCCGCAGGAGAAAACAAATTCCAATTTACTTATAATTAACACCAGCTTATGAAACGTGTCGTCGAAGACACTAGATAAATTAGTGTACATTACACCTCTATTCATGTATAGTGCTGAGTTATACTTGGAACATTGATAACGTGGATTAAAATGCAAATAACTTTGATTAACGCCACTACAGAACTGCAGTTTAAGAGAAGTTAGCTTTATGGGCACGTAGTTTCACATGGTATCCAGCATAGATATCGTTTCAAAATATTCACTGGCTTCATATTGTTTCCGACTGGGCTCGAACCAGGGACCTTTCGAGTGTTAGGCGAACGAGATAACCACTACACTACCGAAACAGGCTGCTTGCTTTTCTCACATCTTCTCGAAAATACAATTAACAGTATAGTGAATTGATCACACAATCTTCCAATTTTGCAGTTTCAAAAACGTAGTTTCACATGGTATCCAGCATAGATATCGTTTCAAAATATTTACTGGCTTCATATTGTTTCCGCCTGGGCTCGAACAAGGGACCTTTCACGTGTTAGGCGAACGTGATAACCACTACACTACGGAAACAGGCTGCTTGCTTTTCTCACATGTTCTCGAAAATACAATTAACAGTATAGTGAATTGATCACACAATCTTCCAATTTTGCAGTTTCAAAAACTTGCGAATACAACATTTGAAGCCTAACTGATTTTTTGCGATTTCATGTAACGAGTTTTCGTAGTGTAGTGGTTATCACGTTCGCCTCACACGCGAAAGGCCCCCGGTTCGAACCCGGGCGAAAACAAAAATCATTTAGTTTTAATTAACGCCGCAGGAGAAAACAAATTCCAATTTACTTATAATTAACACCACCTTATGAAACGTGTCCTTGAAGACAATAGGTAAATTAGTGTACATTACACCTCTATTCATACATAGTGCTAAGTTATACTTGGAACATTGATAACGTGGATTAAAATGCAAATAACTTTGATTAACGCCACTGCAGAACTGCAGTTCAAGAGAAGTTAGCTTTATGGGCACGTAGTTTCACATGGTATCCAGCATAGATATCGTTTCAAAATATTTACTGGCTTCATATTGTTTCCGCCAGGGACCTTTCGCGTGTTAGCCGAACGTGATAACCACTACACTACGGAAACAGGCTGCTTGCTTTTCTCACATCTTCTCGAAAATACAATTAACAGTATAGTGAATTGATCACACAATCTTCCAATTTTGCAGTTTCAAGAACTTGCGAATACAACATTTGAAGCCTAACTGATTTTTTGGGATTTCATGTAACGAGTTTTCGTAGTGTAGTGGTTATCACGTTTGCCTCACACGCGAAAGGCTCCCGGTTCGAACCCGGGCGAAAAGAAATATCATTTTGTTTTAATTGACGCCGCAGGAGAAAACAAATTCCAATTTACTTATAATTAACACCACCTTATGAAACGTGTCGTTGAAGACAATAGGTAAATTAGTGTACATTACACCTCTATTCATATATAGTGCTAAGTTATACTTGGAACATTGATAACGTGGATTAAAATGCAAATAACTTTGATTAACGCCACTGCAGAACTGCAGTTCAAGAGAAGTTAGCTTTATGGGCACGTAGTTTCACTTGTTATCCAGCATAGATATCGTTTCAAAATATTTACTGGATTCATATTGTTTCCGCCTGGGCTCGAACCAGGGACCTTTCGCGTGTTAGGCGAACGTGATAACCACTACACTACGGAAACAGGCTGCTTCCTTTTCTCACATCTTCTCGAAAATACAATTAACAGTATAGTGAATTGATCACACAATCTTCCAATTTTGCAGTTTCAAAAACTTGCGAATACAACATTTGGAGCCTAACTGATTTTTTGCGATTTCATGTAACGAGTTTTCGTAGTGCAGTGGTTATCACGTTTACCTCACACGCGAAAAGCCCCCGGTTTGAACCCGGGCGGAAACAAAAATCATTTTGTTTTAATTAACGCCGCATTGGAAAAGAAATTCCAATTTACTTATAATTAACACCACCTTATGAAACGTGTCGTTGAAGACAATAGGTAAATTAGTGTACATTACATCTCTATTCATATATAGTGCTAAGTTATACTTGGAACATTGATAACGTGGATTAAAATGCAAATAACTTTGATTAACGCCACTAAAAAACTGCAGTTGAAGAGAAGTTAGCTTTTATGCACGTAGTTTCAGATGGTATCCAGCATAGATATCGTTTCAAAATATTTACTGGCTTCATATTGTTTCCAACAGGGACCTTTCGCGTGTTAGCCGAACGTTATAACCACTACACTACGGAAACAGGCTGCTTGCTTTTCTCACATCTTCTTGAAAATACAATTAACAGTATAGTGAATTGATCACTCAATCTTCCAATTTTGCAGTTTCAAAAACTTGCGAATACAACATTTGAAGCCTAACTGATTTTTTGGGATTTCATATAACGAGTTTTCGTAGTGTAGCGGTTATCACGTTCGCCTCACACGCGAAAGGCCCCCGGTTCGAACCCGGGTGAAAACAAATATCATTTAGTTTTAATTGACGCCGCAGGAGAAAACAAATTCCAATTTACTTATAATTAACACCAGCTTATGAAACGTGTCGTCGAAGACACTAGATAAATTAGTGTACATTACACCTCTATTCATGTATAGTGCTGAGTTATACTTGGAACATTGATAACGTGGATTAAAATGCAAATAACTTTGATTAACGCCACTACAGAACTGCAGTTCAAGAGAAGTTAGCTTTATGGGCACGTAGTTTCACATGGTATCCAGCATAGATATCGTTTCAAAATATTTACTGGCTTCATATTGTTTCCGACTGGGCTCGAACCAGGGACCTTTCGAGTGTTAGGCGAACGAGATAACCACTACACTACCGAAACAGGCTGCTTGCTTTTCTCACATCTTCTCGAAAATACAATTAACAGTATAGTGAATTGATCACACAATCTTCCAATTTTGCAGTTTCAAAAACTTGCGAATACAACATTTGAAGTTAGCTTTATGGGCACTTAGTTTCACATGGTATCCAGCATAGATATCGTTTCAAAATATTTACTGGCTTCATATTGTTTCCGCCTGGGCTCGAACCATGTGGTACCTTTCGCGTGTTAGGCGAACGTGATAACCACTACACTACGGAAACAGGCTGCTTGCTTTTCTCACATCTTCTCGAAAATACAATTAACAGTATAGTGAATTGATCACACAATCTTCCAATTTTGCAGTTTCAAAAACTTGCGAATACAACATTTGAAGCCTAACTGATTTTTTGGGATTTCATGTAACGAGTTTTCGTAGTGTAGTGGTTATCGCGTTTGCCTCACACGCGAAATGCCCCCGGTTCGAACCCGGGCGAAAACAAAAATCATTTAGTTTTAATTAACGCCGCATTGGAAAAGAAATTCCAATTTACTTATAATTAACACCACCTTATGAAACGTGTCGTTGAAGACAATAGGTAAATTAGTGCACATTACACCTCTATTCATATATAGTGCTAAGTTATACTTGGAACATTGATAACATGGATTAAAATGCAAATAACTTTGATTAACGCCACTGCAGAACTGCAGTTCAAGAGAAGTTAGCTTTATGGGCACGTAGTTTCACATGGTATCCAGCATAGATATCGTTTCAAAATATTTACTGGCTTCATATTGTTTCCGCCTGAGCTCGAACCAGGGACCTTTCGCGGGTTAGGCGAACGTGATATCCACTACACTACGGAAACAGGCTGCTTGCTTTTCTCACATCTTCTCGAAAATACAATTAACAGTATAGTGAATTGATCACACAATCTTCCAATTTTGCAGTTTCAAAAACTTGCGAATACAACATTTGGAGTCTAACTGATTTTTTGCGATTTCATGTAACGAGTTTTCGTAGTGTAGTGGTTATCACGTTTACCTCACACGCGAAAAGCCCCCGGTTCGAACCCGGGCGAAAACAAAAATCATTTTGTTTTAATTAACGGCGCATTTGAAAAGAAATTCCAATTTACTTATAATTAACACCACCTTATGAAACGTGTCGTTGAAGACAATAGGTAAATTAGTGTACATTACTCCTCTATTCTTATATAGTGCTAAGTTATACTTGGAACATTGATAACGTGGATTAAAATGCAAATAACTTTGATTAACGCCACTGCAGAACTGCAGTTCAAGAGAAGTTAGCTTTATGGGCACGTAGTTTCACATGGTATCCAGCATAGATATCGTTTCAAAATATTTACTGGCTTCATATTGTTTCCGCCTGGGCTCGAACCAGGGACCTTTCGCGTGTTAGGCGAACGTGATAACCACTACACTACGGAAACAGGCTGCTTGCTTTTCTCACATCTTCTCGAAAATACAATTAACAGTATAGTGAATTGATCACACAATCTTCCAATTTTGCAGTTTCAAAAACTTGCGAATACAACATTTGAAGCCTAACTGATTTTTTGGGATTTCATGTAACGAGTTTTCGTAGTGTAGTGGTTATCGCGTTTGCCTCACACGCGAAATGCCCCCGGTTCGAACCCGGGCGAAAACAAAAATCATTTAGTTTTAATTAACGCCGCATTGGAAAAGAAATTCCAATTTACTTATAATTAACACCACCTTATGAAACATGTCGTTGAAGACAATAGGTAAATTAGTGCACATTACACCTCTATTCATATATAGTGCTAAGTTATACTTGGAACATTGATAACATGGATTAAAATGCAAATAACTTTGATTAACGCCACTGCAGAACTGCAGTTCAAGAGAAGTTAGCTTTATGGGCACGTAGTTTCACATGGTATCCAGCATAGATATCGTTTCAAAATATTTACTGGCTTCATATTGTTTCCGCCTGAGCTCGAACCAGGGACCTTTCGCGTGTTAGGCGAACGTGATATCCACTACACTACGGAAACAGGCTGCTTGCTTTTCTCACATCTTCTCGAAAATACAATTAACAGTATAGTGAATTGATCACACAATCTTCCAATTTTGCAGTTTCAAAAACTTGCGAATACAACATTTGGAGTCTAACTGATTTTTTGCGATTTCATGTAACGAGTTTTCGTAGTGTAGTGGTTATCACGTTTACCTCACACGCGAAAAGCCCCCGGTTCGAACCCGGGCGAAAACAAAAATCATTTTGTTTTAATTAACGGCGCATTGGAAAAGAAATTCCAATTTACTTATAATTAACACCACCTTATGAAACGTGTCGTTGAAGACAATAGGTAAATTAGTGTACATTACTCCTCTATTCTTATATAGTGCTAAGTTATACTTGGAACATTGATAACGTGGATTAAAATGCAAATAACTTTGATTAACGCCTCTGCAGAACTGCAGTTCAAGAGAAGTTAGCTTTATGGGCACGTAGTTTCACATGGTATCCAGCATAGATATCGTTTCAAAATATTTACTGGCTTCATATTGTTTCCGCCTGGGCTCGAACCAGGGACCTTTCGCGTGTTAGGCGAACGTGATAACCACTACACTACGGAAACAGGCTGCTTGCTTTTCTCACATCTTCTCGAAAATACAATTAACAGTATAGTGAATTGATCACACAATCTTCCAATTTTGCAGTTTCAAAAACTTGCGAATACAACATTTGAAGCCTAACTGATTTTTTGGGATTTCATGTAACGAGTTTTCGTAGTGTAGTGGTTATCGCGTTTGCCTCACACGCGAAAGGCCCCCGGTTCGAAACCGGGCGAAAACAAAAATCATTTAGTTTTAATTAACGCCGCATTGGAAAAGAAATTCCAATTTACTTATAATTAACACCACCTTATGAAACGTGTCGTTGAAGACAATAGGTAAATTAGTGCACATTACACCTCTATTCATATATAGTGCTAAGTTATACTTGGAACATTGATAACATGGATTAAAATGCAAATAACTTTGATTAACGCCACTGCAGAACTGCAGTTCAAGAGAAGTTAGCTTTATGGGCACGTAGTTTCACATGGTATCCAGCATAGATATCGTTTCAAAATATTTACTGGCTTCATATTGTTTCCGCCTGAGCTCGAACCAGGGACCTTTCGCGTGTTAGGCGAACGTGATATCCACTACACTACGGAAACAGGCTGCTTGCTTTTCTCACATCTTCTCGAAAATACAATTAACAGTATAGTGAATTGATCACACAATCTTCCAATTTTGCAGTTTCAAAAACTTGCGAATACAACATTTGGAGTCTAACTGATTTTTTGCGATTTCATGTAACGAGTTTTCGTAGTGTAGTGGTTATCACGTTTACCTCACACGCGAAAAGCCCCCGGTTCGAACCCGGGCGAAAACAAAAATCATTTTGTTTTAATTAACGGCGCATTTGAAAAGAAATTCCAATTTACTTATAATTAACACCACCTTATGAAACGTGTCGTTGAAGACAATAGGTAAATTAGTGTACATTACTCCTCTATTCTTATATAGTGCTAAGTTATACTTGGAACATTGATAACGTGGATTAAAATGCAAATAACTTTGATTAACGCCACTGCAGAACTGCAGTTCAAGAGAAGTTAGCTTTATGGGCACGTAGTTTCACATGGTATCCAGCATAGATATCGTTTCAAAATATTTACTGGCTTCATATTGTTTCCGCCAGGGACCTTTCGCGTGTTAGGCGAACGTGATAACCACTACACTACGGAAAACAGGCTGCTTGCTTTTCTCACATCTTCTCGAAAATACAATTAACAGTATAGTGAATTGATCACACAATCTTCCAATTTTGCAGTTTCAAAAACTTGCGAATACAACATTTGAAGCCTAACTGATTTTTTGCGATTTCATGTAACGAGTTTTCGTAGTGTAGTGGTTATCACGTTCGCCTCACACGCAAAAGGCCCCCGGTTCGAACCCGGGCGAAAACAAAAATCATTCAGTTTTAATTGACGCCGCAGGAGAAAACAAATTCCAATTTACTTATAATTAACACCACCTTATGAAACGTGTCCTTGAAGACAATAGGTAAATTAGTGTACATTACACCTCTATTCATATATAGTGCTAAGTTATACTTGGAACATTGATAACGTGGATTAAAATGCCAATAACGTTGATTAACGCCACTGCAGAACTGAAGTTCAAGAGAAGTTAGCTTTATGGGCACGTAGTTTCACATGGTATCCAGCATAGATAACGTTTCAAAATATTTACTGGCTTCATATTGTTTCCGCCTGGGCTCGAACCAGGGACCATTCGCGTGTTAGGCGATCGTGATAACCACTACACTACGTAAACAGGCTGCTTGCTTTTCTCACATCTTCTGGAAAATACAATTAACAGTATAGTGAATTGATCACACAATCGTCCAATTTTGCAGTTTCAAAAACTTGCGAATACAACATTTGAAGCCTAACTGATTTTTTGCGATTTCATGTAACGAGTTTTCGTAGTGTAGTGGTTATAACGTTCGCCTCACAGGCGAAATGCCCCCGGTTCGAACCCGGGCGAAAACAATAATTATTTAGTTTTAATTGACGCCGCAGGAGAAAACAAATTCCAATTTACTTATAATTAACACCACCTTATGAAACGTGTCGTTGAAGACAATAGGTAAATTAGTGCACATTACACCTCTATTCATATATAGTGCTAAGTTATACTTGGAACATTGATAACGTGGATTAAAATGCAAATAACTTTGATTAACGCCACTGCAGAACTGCAGTTCAAGAGAAGTTAGCTTTATGGGCACGTAGTTTCACATGGTATCCAGCATAGATATCGTTTCAAAATATTTACTGGCTTCGTATTGTTTCCGCCTGGGCTCGAACCAGGGACCTTTCGCGTGTTAGGCGAACGTGATAACCACTACACTACCGAAACAGGCTGCTTGCTTTTCTCACATCTTCTCGAAAATACAATTAACAGTATAGTGAATTGATCACACAATCTTCCAATTTTGCAGTTTCAAAAACTTGCGAATACAACATTTGGAGCCTAACTGATTTTTTTCGATTTCATGTAACGAGTTTTCGTAGTGTAGTGGTTATCACGTTCGCCTCACACGCGAAAGGCCCCCGGTTCGAACCCGGGCGAAAACAAAAATCATTTAGTTTTAATTAACGCCGCAGGAGAAAACAAATTCCAATTTACTTATAATTAACACCACCTTATGAAACGTGTCGTTGAA